AGTTTAACATGACAGCAAATGTACAATGTTTCGACAAGGTTTTGTCATCATCAGGTACATAAAATAGCATTATTCCTAATAGGTTCCCCCAAACAACTGGTGAAGAAAACCATCCTGAACAGTTTCTAAAAACCTATTTCCCTTATACTTTGACTAACATTTCTTAATCTATAGGCCTGAAATTAAAATCCCCCATAATTATGACCTCACTAACAGCTGAAATTTTCAACTCCTTGTAGTGTTCCTTATTAATTTTTTCAATTTCATCTGGTGGGCTGTAACTAATTCCAAATTCCTGCTCACCTATATTCACTAAAATAAAACCAAATAGATTCAATCTTCTTGCTATTGTCTTTGATATCTTCAACTTCAACAGGATGTAACTCACAGTTTACATATAAAGCCAATTCTTTCTCTTTTTTTTTTAGTATGCTCTCCCTATTTCATAACCTATATCCCTGTATTTCGAAGAACTTTTAATCATCAAAATGATGTACATTTAACCAAGTTTCAGGTATTTACATTATATCTAAATACTCTGTTCTAACTAAAGCTATACAGTTTTAGCAGGTGAAGATGATCAAGAACCCATTAAACTTGTGCATTACACCACTTTAATATATGTATGTAATATTTAAAAATATGGAAAAAGACAAAAAATATCAGGCTATGACACAGTAAGTAGTTTTTATTGTTTGGATTGAGCACTTTCATTTTGAAGTCTACTAGTAGGGGTGCAATTCCAAGACTCACCTATAAACAAAGGGGGGGACTTTGGGGCTTAAAATTGAATAAAAAACTCAGCTGATACATAAGTATATAATATAGGCTTTAGATTATTTGACAATATTTTCCAGTCAAAAAATAAGTGGGCAATTAACCAACTTGCCAAACTTGCTTACATGGCTTGTTTGAATGGGACCTCCTTTTAAAACATATTTGTAAAATGTTTTTAATGCAGAAATAATGATGAATTTGAATTTAGTTTTTAAAACAATAAAATAATAAACATGGTCTGAAGCAAGAATTTTTTTATATGCCAGGTTTGAATATCTGTTTAATGAGCTGCACACAAGTTTGGTAAAAAAAGGCTTGTTTCTTGTATACCTGTATAGTGTGCCAGTTTCTTTTATTTTGGACAATTGAAAAAACTGGTATACAGCCTACAGGTATACAAGAAACAAGCCTTTTTTTACCAAACTTGTGTGCAGCTCATTAACCAGCACTGCTGAAATTCCTTATTATAGTATCATCTTATCTTACTGATTACATATATATATATATATATATATTACAGATTTTTTTTTTTCAACTTTACCAAAGGTAAAATTGAAAGGAGAATTTGTGACATAGAGGCCTAATGTTTTCTTTGATTAGCTGTACCCTCTGCTGTGGACTAGTTTCACCTATTGAAGGCTTATCAGTACAGCTTGGGCTGACAAATCAAAGAAATACAGTTAGGCCTCTTATAACAGTGATTTGTATACAACATTAATGGGGTTTTTAAGTTCTTTTCAATCACCAATAAAGTAACCTAAAAAAATTTAGGTATTTCAATAATGTTAGAGCTTGTGCCTAAATTTTTATTTCACAATATATATCGGACCAAGTATTTAATTGTTACAAATATATGTTACAGATTTCTTTTCAACTTCACCAAAGGTAAAATACCTAAATTATTTTATGTTACTTTATTGGTAATTGAAAAGGACTTAAAAACCTCATTAATTTTATCTTACTGTTTAGTTATCCTTACAATTAAATATTATGAGGAACCACAAAATTCAAATAAATGTGATAGACCTAACAATAACATTATTACTCCCACACATCAGAATTAGGATGGGGGGTCTTGAAACCTCAAAAATGTGTGGTAAAGCAGATCATATAGCCTTGTTTAATTTAGCAATATAACCATTTCATGGCAATAGAACAAACACATAATGAAGTTTACTTAACCAAACCTTTTACTATCAGGTATTTCTAATATGCAAGGTTCTTGCTCTATCTAAGAAGGCTTATTTAACTCTTTACAAATATATATTGCTGCTAATTTTGGGTTATTGTTGCATAACTTACGAGTAACTACACACACACACAAATATATATATATATATATATATATATATATATATACACATACACACACACACACTACTTGTACACACACAC